GGAGGTGGAAGTTGCAGTGAGTTGAGATCACACCACTGCACTCCAGCCTGGGAAACTCTGTCTCAAAAAAAAAAGGTAAGTAGTTCTTCCCAAATTTATATATAGGTTCACTTCAACCCCAAAGAAAGGCTCAGCAAGTTATTTTATGAATACTAACAACATTTGTATGGAAATGTAAGAAACTAGGACGAGCCAGGATCTTGCTGAAGAAAAAAATGTGTTAAACCTGCTACTAGACACCAAGATGTTTCACCAAGTGTGGTACTGGCACAACCAACCAACAGAACACAGTCCAAAAAACACACAGACATACATATACACACAATTGACGACAAATATCACAATGTAAAACAGTGGGGAAAGGACGGTGTTTTCAAAAATAATTCTACATTAATTGTATAAAAAAAGGAATCTAACATCTACCTCATACAAAAGTAGACACTCATTCCAATGAAAGAGACATAAATATGAATGCCAAAACAATAAACATTTTAAAAGATAACAAAAGAGATTATCTTCATGACCTCGAAGTAGGAAAAGTCATCTAAAATAGTACACAACACCAACAAATAAACTTAATAAACTAATCTAGGGATTGGTAAACTTTTTCTGTAAAAAGTCAGACATTAACTATTTCGCCAGGCACAGTGGCTCACACCTGTAATCCCTTGGGAGGCCAAGGCAGGCAGATCACTTGAGGCCAGGAGTTCGAGACCAGCCTGGCCAAGTGAAACCCCATCTCTACTAAAATACAAAATTAGCTGGGTGTGATGGCACATGCCTGTAATTTCAGCTACTTGAGAAACTTAGTCAGGAGAATTCCTTGAGCCCTGAATGCAGAGGCTGCAGTGAACCAAGATCACACCACTGCACTCTAGCCTGGGTGACTGAGTGAGACTCTCTCCAAAAAAAAAAAGAAAAAATGAGACATTAAACTTGGGGCTTTGCAGGCCAAAAGGTTCCTGTCACAACTAGTCAACTCTGTCACTGAAGCCACAGATTAAATGTAAATGAGTGAAATGAGCAGAGAGGTGTCAGGATTGTGAAGGGGACAAAACAGCAGCTTCAGGAGTGCTGGCAATGTTTGTTTTGACCTATGTATTCAATACTTGCACCATGGATTTGTAATAATTCATTAAGTTCCATATTTAAAATTTAGGGGGTTTTCTATCTGCTACACATGTAGAAATAAGATTCATTAAAAATTAAAATACGTAATCCCAGCACTTTGAGAGGACGAGGCAGGTGGATCATGTGGTCAGGAGACTGAGACCAGCCTGGCCAACATGGTGAAACCCTGTGTCTACTAAAAATACAAAAATTAGCTGGGCGTGGTGGCGTGTGCCTGTAATCTCAGCTACTCGGGAGGCTGAGGCAGGAAAATCGCTTGAACTAGGGAATCGGAGGTTACAGTGAGCCGAGATCGCACCACTGTGCTACAACCTGGTGACAGAGCGAGACTCTGTATCAAAAATAAATAAATAAATAAATAAATACATTTTAATTTATTGGCCCTGCACACTGGCTCACGCCTGTAATCTCAGCACTTTGGGAGGCCAAGGAGGGCAGATCACGAGGTCGAGATATCAAGACCATCCTGGCCAACATGGTGAAACCCCAACTCTACTAAAAATACAAAAATTAGCCAGCTGTGGTGGCACATGCCTGTAGTCCCAGTTACTCGGGAAGTTGAGGCAAGAGAATCGCTTGCACCCGGGAGGTAGAAGTTTCAGTGAGCCAAGATCACGCCACTGTACTCCAGCCAGGCGATAGAGCAAGACTCCTCAAAAAATAAATAAATAAATAAATAAATAAATAATTAAAATACATGTTAACTTAATTGATCAAACACTACATACAAAAGAAAATCGGAACCTGTGTAAAGTAAAAATTAAAAAAGCAGTTTGACTGAATAGGTTGTACTCATTTCAGGGCTATCACTGGAAGGTTATTCACTGTGGGTCTCTATGCATCTGCCAGGAAGTCTTTGTGTCTTCAGAGGAGTCAGTCTGTCTGTATCCAGTGTCTTCCTTTCTGCCACGGTTGTTGGAAA